CCCACACCCCACACCCACACCCACACATCCACACCCACACCCACCCCACCCACATCCACACCCTAGCAAATCGTATCTGGCTTTTCTCCATGATAGATAAGGCATCCTGTTCTTCGATTGACCCTCACTCTTAGTTTTAGGATGCAGATCTGTTGTTTCCTTCCAAAATGTATCCCTGCACAGAATACAGTGAAGATATCGAGAATACAGGTTGTATTTTTCTCACATGCTCTAATATCATGTTTGAAACATACAGCAAAGCAGTCACATTTTATTCAAAAACCACAGTAAAAAGAAAACTAAAATGCAAGAATCAATGCATTTCTTCTTTGAATATTGTAAAATAATCTGGGCTTTGACAATGCGGCATGATAGTTCATTTATTTCGGCTTAGATGATTCGTCAGTTCTACGCGAAGTAGCCGCTCCCAGAGTATTGTATTGTGAAGACGGTTGGAGAAGATTACTAGCGAAGGTCCAATAACTTGAAAGAAATGCAGCATGTTTTAAGAGAAGTTTTGTACCGCGTGCAGCATTGATTTCATCTCCACTAGCGAATAAAGCAAAGGCATCTTGTACAGGTTCTTTCACAGCTAAATTCAACAGAACCGTTGACATATATTTTCTTTTCAATTTTTTAAGAAACTTTTACTAGATTGATATAGATTTCTCACATACCTTTCAAAACAGAAACAATCTGTGAACCTATAGATGATCCTTGATGCAAATTTTCATTTAATGTTGCAATCTGGACGAAATTATCAATAAGAGTTTGATCAATTTCGCTTTTTAAAGAAGCTGCTTGATTTTCAATCTCTTGGAAATCCTTGCAAAGATTATCGATTTTCTTTTGGATGGATTTAGCTGTGGCTTCATTAAGTTTTTGGGAGCGTTCAAGGTCATTCTGAGCAATTGTATATTCAATTTCGCAAGTAGACAGATGACCATTAAAGTTCACTACAAAGTTCGTTTCTGCTTCTTCATTCATTTTATTTTCTTGAATCTTCTGCTTTCTCTGACCTACTTCAGTCTGTAAGCGGCTTTTGCGTGCTGCTTCCTTTGGATTTTGCTCCTACAAATAGACAAAATCGTAAATCCACATCGATCAGTTTTAATCATGAGCTCAAGACAAAATGCGCTCAAACCATCTCCAAAGAGAAGGAATGAGAAATGAATAATGTAATGGCATACCATAGTAGTATAACGATGGCTTTTATGACAAACATATCTACAATTGCATTTCTCAGAGATAGTTTTTATAAACTTGTCTGGAATTGATTGAATCTGTCGCTCATCTTTTTCATTTAGTGTAATCATTTCATTAGTTGAACGTTTGATTTCTTGCAAATATTTGTTTGCACCTTGGATTAGTTGCTTCACATCTCGAATCATCTTCGACAAAAGTTCGATTTTTCCTAAAAGTATATGATGATTCTATCTGTCAATATGTGATTACTGCTTGAGAAAAAATAAACGTTTCGATGTCAATGACGGTATCATGTACTCTGATGCATGTCAAAGTATAACTGAAAATTATTGCATTGCATTTTGTTAACTTCGGTAATTAACAAGAGAACATTATGAAGTCATGAAACGCTTGAGAAATCAGACTTTTGTCATAATGTGATCTCTTTGAAGACTGAAAGAAGCCTAATAATATTCGATTTTGTCGGCTTTTCCTGAGCCATGTTCAGTTTACTGCATTTTTGATTTATTAAACGATATTACAAGAAAAAATCGACTTGTAAAATTCTTAATTTTTCAAAGAAATTTATACTCATAGATCGACCTTCTAATTGATAACAGGTGCCAGAATTTCTATCTAACTAAAGATTTTCTTTACAAAATATTTCCCATGAGAAATGATTTTATTTTAACAAGGAAAGTTTCTCAATGGATTCCTAGCGTCTGACTTCGTCTTTTGACTATAAGTGGTTTTTTGAGACTAAGGAAACTCTAAAAAACGTTCGTGTCTATGGATGCTCCTTTTCGAAATGTGGTCAAGGGTATATCGAAAGTTTTTCTAAGATATTATTTCTCTATAGTTCTGAGACATCAGACATTAAATACATATAAGATATTAATGTACAAGCATGGGTAAATCTAAACTCAAATCTTAAGTGCACTATATTAGGAAGAGCAAAAATCAGTCATGGCAGTACTTTCATAAGGAGCAATAGCATTTGCTAGCAGCAGAGTAACAAAAAAATGTATACTTAACAACCAGTACATCACTTATTTCTGCGAACTCTTCAGATAAAATGCACTATCCAAAATATATTCTATTATGACTTTAAATTCCTACTGACTATGATTATAATACTTTGAATAATTATCATACCTCGAATGAGAAATCGAAATATTATAGTAAGATGTATCAAGATAAAGATTCATCATTCTATTATTTTGTTTCAGATATATCAGAAATCGAAATACTAAGATAACCAACTATGAAAATATTGAATTAATTATTACTTTATTTTGTTTTAGATTCAATGGAAATCGAATTACTAAGCTAAGCACTCTAAAGAAAGCTTTTCGATGAATCAAACTCGAAAACAAACATTGCAATTTTAAGAGTATATGAAATCTGAAAACCTTGTTGTAAATATTTTGAGATGTAGAAGCTATACTGAAAACTGAGAACGCTTTTATGATGAACTATTTAAAAGTAGATTATGGATGTCTAAAAGAACTATCTTTCATACACAATCATAGATGTTTTCGATATTTCTTCACGGAACCTTCTTTCAGTGAAAACAACTTTTTAGAGTTCGATTCGGTATCCAAATTCGGAGATCATGAAAATGCTTCACAAAACACAGAACATCGGTTTCATTATACTTGAATGAATACTCTAGACAAATGACATAAGCGGTCAAGGCGGCCTTGGTTTGTGATATTTAGGCTCGGTTTTGCACTATCATACATATGTAACTGTGGTTTTTCAATCGATTTATGATACATTAGTTTTAGCATTATCTAAAAACGAATTTGAGTAGCTTTACCTTGTTGATACTGATGTCTGACGTAGAGTTCTTGACGTTCTTTATGATATTCTTCAAGAAGCATGTTAATTTCAGCTTTTTGTGTCTCAAACATTGCAGCTTCGGTGATGATGATTTCATGTAGTTGTCCAATTTCATCTGCAACTGTCATTACATCAATATCTCCTAAAGCGGAAGCTTCTTGACTACAGTCTTCTAAAACATTGAGAGCAGCAGAAATAGTTTTTTGTGCAACTCTAATCGCACCAGAAGATCCTAAATATTGATATTATCAAAGTTTTATTCGAAGAATGAAAATTATACAAGAAAGATACCTTTAGTTGTTTTGATCATGTCTGCGCCTTGTTGGATTGAAATCGAAAGATTACGAATTGACGACAAGAATTTGGCAATGACTGAACGTACTTTGACATCCTGACTTAAAATTTTCACCAAATCTGTGATTATCTATAAATCATAAATCAACGTATGATATTTGAAATCCTTATGTGAAACAGTGACCTAGTCAGCAAAAGATAGTTGGCCAATTTTCTAACTTTAAAAAACTGTCCTTCAGTGGCTGATAAGGGGAATTGAATTTCCTTAGTATTTAGAGTATGAAGCCATTAGATAAACTCATCGCACCTGGTGCTATGATATTTTGAAGCAATCAGTGTACAGGAGAAGAAATCGTTGCATTCACCTAGTAGAAACCGGTCACTTTCTATAGTACCTATGTTCAAGTTAGATCTTGAGTTCTTTTCTTTGCAAATCACTGCAAGGAAGAGGATTGATCGAAACAGATAGAAATCATCGTTGTCATCAAAAAAACAAGTAAATGACGAGTTGATAGAAGAGTACTTTGCTATTAGACACCGCTGAAATTTGTATAGAATAGAGCTAAGCTATGAAAATAGTTTACTCTAAATATCTATGGAGGCGCAATTTATACCAATCGAGATTTCATGTGAAGATTTCTGGTTAGAAGACATACTTGTTCTTTCCAAAATTGTGCATACTTGGAATTGTTAAGATCAGACATACGATTTCCTATCGTATGAGCGGCGACCACAATGCCTTCACTAGAAACCATAGAATTCTTCAGCGTCTCGGTCAGCCTTTGGATATACTCTTGAGTATCTTGATCATATTTCTCCACATCATTAGTGATCATGACAGCAGTTGGTTTGGTTTCAAATATGATGTTCTCACTGAATTCGTAGGAAATACTATTTCGACAGTTCAATTCTAGAACAATAAACAGCTTCCGACAAATTATATAATCATATAGATGGAAAGGATTGAAGATTGTAGAAATCTATCAGAATGAGAATATATTCTATTCCGCTATGTTGCACATTGTGCAATTGTTTTCCTCCATTTTCGTAACTCGCTCAATGTCAAGTAGATCTCTACGGTTGAACGACGATCGAGTTCAGCACCTTGAATAAAATCGATTTGGAGAGGAGAAGAAACAAAACTATTCGGTAATGTTCAGCATTTCAAGATAGGTGACTACTTTACAACTAGTATATTTATGTGATGATTTTTTAACTTACTATAGCTTGCTCAACAAAGACAATCATCCGTTCTGTGATTTACTCTATGAAAAAAAGACTTTTCGAAGACTTGGCCCCATCATGATCCGCAGGACTAGAAAAAGATAGGATAGGATTGATTCATCAATAGTGTTGTAGTACAGTTCATGGACAGAGGATCAAATGGAAGTAGTCCAATAGTAACATTATCCAACAAAGAAGAATATGGTAGTAATGAAGACTGATAACAAGAGAAAAGTGTTGAAATCCGATGATCAATAGAAGTATGAGTTTCGCAATAATGACTTTTGCAGCGGACTTTCAAAACGGCCTGAAAGTTTCCTGCGAAAATTATCATAGTGAAATTCATACTATTCGAACTATATGATGAAGTCATGTTCAAAGAAGCTCTAGTCGTTAGCACAGAAAAAAATGTCTGCTTCGAAAACGAGTCGTTCATGACAGCTGCCATATCAGATCTGTTTTAGGATTACTGTTCTTGAAGGTGTTTGCAATGTAGATTTATATACTTTCTTTATGGTATCTATACAAATACAAGAGAAAAAACCCTATAAGACAAAAAAAATGAGTCATTTTATACAATATTTACTCCGAATATTTGCGTTATGATTATTTATTAGTGCGCCTTTTATCTTTCAATAAAAACCCTGAAGGAGAGAAAAAACCCGTAAGATAAGAGATCTGAAAAGGTACTTAGCTCTCCTACGACGAACACGACATTTTCTTTCTTCCGATGAGTCTTTCTTCAATCTTTTTAATGCAAATACTATCTCTTGTGCTTATGATATAAAACAGGCAGAGGTTGTGTGAAAGTAGGTTAAAGATAAATTCATGTTCTTTTTTTCTTGTTCTTGCCAGATAAGAATGAAAATAAAAAACTAATGTGTGTCAAAAATGAAATGACAGAAGTAATTTTGCCATAAATCCAGAAGGAAAAGAGCTTTAAAGCTGCAATTTTCACCAGTCCAAAGAAGAAACATTGAAACATTGTCTCCTCTGGTATTGTATAGGACAAAAGTATTGTGAAAGCAATCGTTTATATGAAACATTCAAAAATACACAAAAACTATTTGTTGTCGAGATGAAATTTTGACAAAAAATATAAACCTTTCTTAAAAATAAAAAGAACTTCATAGTTTTTTTAACTTAATAAATAAAGAGTGTTATTTATTTTACATTAGAATATTTGAAAATAATCATTCGAACTAAATTCTAAACTATAGATCTGAAGCCTTTCTTCTTAAATAAAATCTCAAAATCAAAACTTCATTGGAATGACAGGTCGTTTCCATATGTTTTGGAATAGGAGGGATGGGTTACAGGCACGAACGCTTTTAGAATTTTTCTCGTTCTACTGGAACATGTTTACAGCGAGAAGATGAAGTCAAAAGCTCTGAATTAGTTAGAATAGTTCCCTTATTAGTATATCAGGTTCGACGCGGACTCGGTCACAGTGAATCCAAGTCCAAAACTTTGTTTTGATCGGATTCGGGTTGAGGTCGGAGCCCAGAAAACTTAACCATTTGAGTCCGGGCGACGCGAATTCGCATCTGGATATTTTGAGACCTGAAGAATTTTAAAAAACACGATCTGTTGATCATATAAAGGCATGAATTGTATAAATATTTGCGTTTCTGGTATTTGTACGATTAAACCTGTCTATATTTAGTGACGATTGTTGGTTGTTCCTTAATATTTCTGCCAATTAGCTTATAATTGATCAGTTAGAATATGATCCAGCTTGGTCGCACTTCTGGAGAAAGAAATGTCAGTCACAAAAGGATATTTTGTGTTGTGAAAATTGCTCAAGAATGCCATTTATCGTAATTTGCGCTAATATTGTGAGATGAACTAAGGCAAGAAGAGACACTTCATATGAATGTATTGAATGGGATGTAGGCTTGTGTCTTATATATTGTTTTAAAGACTATCACACTTTGAAAGCATTTTGAATCATGTATTTTGTGATATTTTTTTGCAAAATTAACGTTGATTTGAAATTATAAAAACTTTTACTATATAAAAATAATCTCATACTCAAAGGGTTAATCGGTCCATCTGAGTCGGGTTCACATCCAAAACAAAACCTAACTGATCGCCTCCAAGTCCTGCAATTCTTAGACTCGATTGATACTATTTAAGACACAAAAAGTTTGTCTTGTCGATCTCCACATATGATATATCATTCAACCTTTCTTTATCATTAGAATGAAACACACTCAGAAATCTACATTAGTTCGCTTCATCAATATGGTCCATGATCAACGGAATGGGTCATTTGTTATTGCATAGCAAAAAGAAAGAATCAATGTCTTAAGAAATTTCTGTATTGTATGAAATTACCTTTGACTTATGTACACATGGGATATTTTCAGTTATCACTTGCAGAAATAGAAAAAAACCATCTGAAAATAAATAATGTCATTGTTGGTTGAAAAGAAATAGAGTTTTTCTTATCAGCTTTACATAATGACTTTGCTTACTGTTCTTGCACAATCATTATAAGGAAAAATACATATAAGATGATACATATAAATTGTGAATTTTTAATTTCGTACGCTGTTCCATTCACATCAGCGAGATAAACCATCAAAATCATATACATAAAAAAAGTAGAATAACAAGTAAGTAACAAATAAGCACAGTAAGTACTATGCAAAGCATCTTCTGTTATATCACTCATCTTTACTTATTTCAAGATTTTTACGGACCAACAGAGATCGGTAATTTGAAATCTGTAGAAAATGGCTAGTATTTGGGATATGGACGACGACAATAACAGTGCTGCATCTAGCAAAAAACCAGAGCAGCCAATTGTCAAGATGGACTCTGGTGCAGAAGTTGATCTCTTACAACGTGATTCTGTAAAGATGGAAACTGAAAATCTTTTCAATTCTTTGAAAATATGTGATGATATCGTCGTTGAAGCTTTTCAGATTACTGATTATATTCCGACTCTGACAAATAAAGAAATGGCAGAATTTTGGAATAATCAGGTGAGTTTCATTCGATCACAAATACAAATCAAAATTTTAATAATAATCTGGTTCGTAAATCGATATGAATTGATAATTGATAGATAATTCCGACGCTGGTCAGTATTCTAAAGCAAGATGTAACTGCACGTTCAATCGTTTGGAAATCGTTTACCTCAGTTCGTAACTTGGCAATAAGCATCAATGAAGGTGCAGGATTAGTCATGCAACTCAAAGGTAGTCTTCATACGTCATCTAATTGATTTCACTTTTTTTCTCATGACATATTTGTGTTAAGGTTCTGCTGCTTCACTTAAGGTTGCACAAACAACTATCTCTACTGCACTTGCTAATTTGGAAAGCAGTATTTCTGCCGCAAGTGTACTAAGCACCCAGGCATTGACTACTTTTGAAGAAAAAATCAATATATTACTTCATATTATGGGTGCAAAAGCGGCAGATTATATTAATGAAAAAGTCAAAACTAATCAACTGCTTGAAGAACAATATAAAAAGAAAAAGGAACTAATAGATGAATTTAATAAGATAAAAGGTAAGATATAGTTTTTCTTCTGAATTCATTTCCAATAATTAGTGTACCACAAAGTACACTTTCCATATTATATCACTCACTGCAGATCATATTGGTTATGCTCTTGCTAAGCACTCTGATATCTATTTTTGACTCGAAGAAAATTTAAAATTTATTGAGATATGATTTCTTTTCAATCAATTATTATTTTTCTTTGAGAAGCATCAACGAAATTCATCTCATAGTATTGTCTTATAGGAAAGATGACATTCAAATTTTGACATTGATTATTTGTTGACGTATCGTCTCATAGGTTGTATCATCATATAGAATTGTCTTGGACAGTTCATATCTAGACAACGTTTCATATCGTTTCATTTTATGTTCAACATTCTCGAATATATTCGACTGCAACTGTTTAAACACAGCATCTTTCATAATGCTGCTTATATAGAGATGTTTCAAAGACAAGATCAGCACTGTAAAATGAAAAAATTTGATTAGATTGATTGAAGGATCTGAACAGTTTTTCGAATTTTGTGCGATCAACAATATTTGGGATCTCTCCAGTCTTATGATCTGTACAGGTAGAGGAGTGAAACGGATCGAATGCACATCATCGTTAAAGTGCAACTCCATTTCCGAAGGTTAGATAGTCTTTATATTCTCTTTCGATAATAGTTTCCGACAAATACTTACAAAAATATAATACCAATCAATATTCTGCAATGATAATTTAGTTTAAACATAATATATGAAGAGAGCTTGTTTAGAATCAATGGAAGTTCTCAATAACATGATCCATGTCACCGAAAGTAAAATCAAAGGTGCAAAAGAAGCGATTGAAGAAACCAAGCGTCGATCACAAGAGCTTGCTTCATTAAATACAGAAATGGAGAAAAAAATCCAAGATATCTCATCTACATATCAAGTAACTGAAACACGCACATCCAGTAGATCATCATTCAAGAACTCTTACGTAGTACGTATTTAACATATCTTTTCTGATAGAAATTATTGCTAACTATTGTGAACTTTGAAATATTGATGGACTTAATCTTTAGATAGGAAATCCAAATCGAGATATTCAAAAGCAGTTTTATGAAGCAATAATCAAAGAAAGAGTGGCCCGTATTAAAGCTAATAATAAAGATCAAGATGAACAACAAGCAGTTCAAAACGAATTGTCACAAAGTTTATGTGAATATCAAGCTAAATATAAGACTACACGCGATAGTATGGTAGAATTCGAGAAAACTTTTCGTGAAGAAATGGATAAAATTCAACAAGAGATTGATTCTCTTACCAATAGATTGCAAGCAGCTTACACAGGCGAATCTGAAGCTGCTATTACAACCGGTCTACAAGGCGAAAATTTTAACAAGTTTTTAGAACTGGTTACAAACCTTAAAACAGATATCCATCAAGGTGCTAATGCTTATAGACCACTTGAAAGTGCACTAACAGGTATTTTATTGCGTCTGTTGCTGAAATTCGAGTTAACTGTTCATTGTTGATTTTATTGTATTTTTTAGCCGTCAAAGCAATGGTCGAAAATCAGATTCTGTTGCTTCAGAGTGGAGAGGCAACTGACGTCTTTGCTGCGGGAGCTCACCTCCTTATGAAAGTAGCATGGCTAAAAGAATATCATAGTTCTTCATGTAAATACTTGGACCCATCAATAGAATATAAAGATATTACAAAACGTCACAATATGAATTACGCAATCGAAATGTCTCAAGAAAAATAGATGAGAACTTTGAAAAAATAAGCTACATATTATTTATTTTGAAATAAATTATTCTTGAATCAGTTTGTGTTCTTAAAAGAGTGTGATAGAACTGTTTTTATCTAAATTTCACTTTCAATAAGAAGATCAACAGAAGATTTGAGTTTCATTGTGGAAGAAAATGAACGTTATGATTCAAATAGACTAAAACAGAATATTTTTACTAGTCTGCTATTAAGAAATTCAAGTGTTGAAATACTAACAGTGAAACTTTATAAAGTACTCGTGAAATAGATCGAGCAATCCAATTATCGTGATTTCACGTCTGCTCAAAGAAAAGCATTAGATGCCTTTAATCTATAAGCAGGTTCAATTGTATGATTCATCAAGCACTGGGCATACGACACTGTTTCGATGATAGTATAATCTCACAAATGGAAGCTACGTTGTATGAAACGATATATGATCGAGGAATACTATTTGGAGCTATGTGTAAAGAGGTGGACGGAGGTGTTGGTGAGTTTATATGAGCAGAACAAACATCTTAATAGGCGAGTGTGGCTTATGAATACTTATTTAATATTAATCATATCACAATAGTTTCAGTATATTCGTAAAGTATTTCTAATTTCAATTTGGCCGAAAAATGAAAAATTTCGTTTCTTAGATCTTACTCTATCACATTCGAATAGCATGCAACTATTTAGTGAAATTGGTCATGGTTGAATTGACTGAAAAGCAATATGATTTTGTTACAGTTTTATCGTTCTTTTTTTATTTTATTTTATCTTAATGATAACATACAACAAAACAAAAATACTTACGAGGGAACATTTCCAAGTGTCACATCCCTTTTGAGCCGAGAGTATGCGCATCATGTAGGCCCTAATGATCTATAAATACTCTGAAAAAAAGTTCGTCCCGCTAGCTTATTGGTGCCGAAATATTGCATTTTTACTGTATGTTTAAGAAAAAAGCCGTGGTTCCCCGCAAGAACAATAGAAAAACTGAGTTTCGAATTTCGACTTGAAACTTTGCCTAGAGATAGGCCTCAATGAGAATAGTTTATTGTGAAAGTTTCAGATCTTCCTGTCGTTCCTATTCTAAGAAAGAGTTATGGTAAAACATGCTTTGATATCGCTCATATACAACGGCAGATTCCGATGTTCTTATTTCAGAATAGGAGCATTCAAAAGATCTCAAACTTTCACAATAAACTATTCTCATTGAGGTCCATCTCTATGCAAAGTTTCAAGTCGAAATTCGAAACTCAGTTTTTCTAGTGTTCCTGCGGGGAACCACGCCTTTTTTTTCTTAAACGCACAGTAAAAATGCAATATTTCGGTACCAATAAGCTAGCCCGACGAACATTTTTCAGAGTATTCATAGATCATTAGGACCTACATGATGCGCATACTCTCGGCTCAAAAGCGATGTGACACTAGGAAATGTTCCCTCGTGAGACAACTATTGAGACATGGGAAGGATTGCAACATAGATACATCCATGACAAGAAGCCAACTGTTCATGTTTGAAGTTCGTTCTCGTCTGAGCTCGTACCTATCGTCTACTATTCGACTTCGAATATAATTTTACCGTTGCAGCGCAGGACTCCTGAAAAATCCTTCTTTTCCTACTTCTTTTCGGATTTCCTTCTTTTTTTTCGAAAATTCCTTCTCAAAACCTTCGTTTCGGTGACCCTTTCCGCTGCGACCTCTGTGTTTTTGATTTTCGACGTTTTATCCTTCAACATTTTGACTTTCGATGTTTGCAACTTTATCTAAAAAACCGCATTGAACGAGAACCAGGTGGCGAAATCATCTGATTGGACAAAGTCTAAATAGCAAAAACACCTCATTGGTTGAGTTGCCAGCATGAGAAAAACCTCATTTTAAGTAGTTACTCTAAACTCCCGCAAATATATGCGTACCCGTAACTTTACACGTGCAAGCAACGCCAACATACGAGCAAACACACAAATTCATTTTATTTCATATAACTCTCTCTTCAGTCGAGAGAATTAATATTTATTCTAGAATAAAGACAAAATGCGTGACACTTAAAGATTGTTATTTAATCATTTGGTTTCTTCTGGTTTGATGACTTGAACTCGATCGCATTCGCAAGAGCATTGAATTTAGTCGAAGTTTGAATGGCTTGACTACTGATCGAATAAAAATTTGAAAGAAACGCAACTTGTTGCAAGAGACGATTTCCAGCGAGAAAGACATTGACGTTATCTTGACTCGAGAGCAAAGCAACGTCAGCTTCCACAAACGTTTTCATTGCTAAAAATCAAGACAATAGTTATCAGAGAATATTGATTTTAAATCTCAATTAGAAATTCAAAACTAAAGACATACCACTCAAAATGGAAACAAGCGGAGAATATACTGAAGCACCTTCTTTGAGACTTTTTGCAAATGTTCGAACTTCGATCAAGCATTGAATGAGAGTGTTTCCGTGATGTCCAACTTTGTTACTCACATCAGTTGCGGTCTTGTCAATATCGACCAATTTTTGGTGAAGTACATCTATTTGTTTTTGAATCGACGCCATCTTCGCTGGAAAAGTTTCCCTACATTTTTCAAGTTCTGTCAGAGCGTTTTGATATTTGCTCTTGTAATCACTCAAACAAAGATTCATGTCGGCCGCAACTTTCTGTTTTGCCGTTTCGTCATTCTCATTTTGTTTAATTCGCTGCATTCGTGATAACACAATACTTTCATAATAATTCTTTTCAGCTTCTCGATTTTGATTCGGCACCTAGAGAAAAGAACACAACTTAATATCATATCTCTCATATCACAAAATTTAAATAAAATGCACGCGAACGAGCTATGAATTGAAAGTAATGAAAAACATTTAAAGAAATGTCGCACCATAGTCGTAGTTGTTTGCGTGGTAGTCGACGATCTTCTCCGGAACCACCATCCTCCTCGGTGGTGACTAGTCGTTGTGACAGTTTCTGGAGTGGATACTGGAATCGATTTAATTGTTTCCTCGACCTGCGCATTCAGTGCCATCATTTGTTGAGTTCGAAGTCGAGTTTCTTCCAAAGCTTTCTCTACTCCTTTCACTTGGGACTCGGTGACATGCACCAAGTGGCTGAAACGTTCGACTTCTCCTAAAAATGAGATAAACTTGTTCTTCACAAAGAGATAAAATCAAACAAATAAGTTCATGGAACAAAGAAACCGGAGCAAGAAATCACTTTTGCATTTTCATAGAATGGAACCCGAGACTCAGTGAGAAAATCTTAGCTCATCCAAAGCTTCAAAATTGACACGATTTCGGATGTTTTTTCTTCTAAGTTAAACCTTCTGCGTTCTACAGATCGATACAATGATTTCAAGAGAACTCCTGTAGAAATAAAACATGAATGTGTAGTTAAGCACGCTTTCTGTTATGTTGCAGCTCAATTAAAAAACTATCCGACTTATCATACACACTAAGATAAAATGTGTCGCATGTGTCGCACTTTGCGACACAATGTACGACACATTAATATGCGACACGAGGAGCTCGTTGCGACACATTTCCTTCAGCGGACGTACGACACATTCTTGTGCGACACATGCGACACATTTTTAGCACGTGGTTCGAATCCATTTTTAGGCACGTGGATTAATTTTTTATGAAAATTCCAATAGTTACTCTTTTTTCAGTTACTTTCAAATAGCAGCACCTATTCTTGGAGTTCAAGATAGTAGATATTAAGATCTAGCTGTCTCGAGACCATTTGATCTCGATCAGACTACTTCGAGGCAGTCCATTCTCGATCATCTAGCGACCTCTCGACATGTTCTCGAATAATGAATGGTCGAGAAATAATGTAGAAAAAAAGACATATGAAAATGTATCAGTCACGTACGTTCAATGGGCTCGGTTATATGCAGCTGCACTCGCGAAACAAAACGGTGAATAAACAATTGATATATAGGCTATGACACATTGATAATGCGACACATTCTTGTACGACACATATATACGACACATTTTATTTTAGTGTGTAATCGGTTTATGAGACATTGTTTTAGTATAGATAGGTGAAGAAACAACGAATATTTAATTTTCATTGACATGTTTTTTTTTTTTTTTATTAAAAAGCTTGTCAGCGCAATCCCTTTGGGGCTAAAATGTGTAACTCACATATTCATATAACCATGTCTGTCACGGTCTATGACGACTCCTTGTTAAGGATATCTGTCACGGAGACCTCCAGACGTTTCATCACTGTCATTCCGAACATCCGTATTTGACACCGGATGTTCGGAATTGACATTTAGTCTGTCAACGGATGTTCGGAAAAAATCTAACAGATGTTCGTAAGGTAGAGAATGGATGTTCGGAATGAATTATATCATATGACAGAGTTACGAAACATGGATGTTCGGAACGCAAACATAGGGATATTCAAGACAAAATAAATAGTGTGCAAAACGGACTTGGATATAGAATGGTTGATGAAGGAGACGACTTCTAATAATCTCGAGAGTAAAAACGCGAAAAAAAATATCAGTCATCTTGATGAACAGTGAACACGAAATGCAAGTTTGCCGTCTGCTTATTGATAGTTGATTATTTACGCCGCGGTTGCATACATTAGCCAGTTTGTTCCTTGTTCCGGTGACGGTGGCGTATCATACAAAGGATGGGGGTAAATTTCCTAGCAAAATCGGTCCTATTTGAAAATGTTAACAGAACACCCAATAATTATATATCATTACGAAGGTAATAAAGTCCACTAAATATGTGGACTATAGTTTTGATCATAACGCTGATTTTGGTCCTCCTTTTACTTTGTATATAATGAGAAGGCATATAACCCGCTCATGCCAGGCTTGTACGGCATCGAAGTGTATTACTGTAAAAGGTTTCCTCACCATTTTTTAAGCATAGGTAGGCCATCAAATATTCTCAAAAACTACCCGAACATGCCCGTTCGAAAAGCTTGCCAAATGGATTTTGGAAATACTACACTTATCTGAATAGGTGGTTTCTATGGAGATTGAGGAGATGATACAGTTCGATCTCGAGTATTGCAATACATCCCACCCTCATTTTTTGAGCATAAGTAGGCCATAAAATATTCTCAAAAACTACCCGAACATGCCCATTCGAAAACTTTGCCAAATGGATTTCGGACATACTACACTTATCTGAATAGGTGGTTTCTATAGAGATTGAGGAGATGGTACAGTTCGATCTCGAGTATTGCAATATATCCCACCCTCATTTTTTGAGCATAAGTAGGCCATCAAATATTCTCAAAAACTACCCGAACATGTCCATTCGAAAAGCTTGCTAAAGCGATTCTGAAATACTACACCAATATAAATGGTGATTTCTGGAGGGATGTAGAAGATGATTTACTTGCATGTTCACTACTGTAATATTTTGCGCCTTCATCATTCAAGGAGAAGGAGGGTGGGTGTGGGTGTGGGTGGGTGTGGGTGTGGGTTTGGGTGTGGGGTGTGGGTGTGGGTGGGTGTGGGTGTGGGTGTGGGTGTGGGGGTGGGTGTGGGTG